TTTAGATAACTACATCATTAATGTTTATTTATTCTGAAAAAAAGTAATCGGTTGGAGAGTGGGGTAATCGGTTAGACGTTAGTTCTCTTATGTGATTTTTTATTTTCAGGGTACTTTACAGTAATGTACATGTCAAATGATCGTCCAACATCTAACAAAGAATTATAATTTTAAGGGGTCGTCAATAAAATTTGATTAAATTTTACAGTTTTAGTGATTAAAAAAAAATGTCCAAAAAACTAAATTAGCCGTAATGAGTAGAAGCTTTATTTTTTTATTCTTATTACTAAATCATATCTTCTTAATGCGCATTATATTAAATTACATGATAAAGTAATAATTTATTAGAAATTGCTTTTTATATAAATTTTAATTAATTATTTTTACTTATAGATTCCATAAATATTGCACCATAAAAAATCATTTAATTTAAAATTTTTCACAAATTTATGTAATAACTAATATACAAATTTAAATATATTATAATTGAAGTTATAAATTTTATAATATTTAAAATTCAAAGGTATGCGTTTATTAGTCTCGAAATATTATAATTCAAAATTTTTTTTTTAAGTGGAACAATAATAATGAGAGATACTGTATTTACAGTATTATAAATTAAATATTTCCTTAAAGTTAGCTCTAAAATTTAAAGCTAGATAAAATAAAGCATCGGGAAATATTTGCCAGTAAAAATAGCATTAATAAACTACTTACATATGTACAGTATTTAATTATCGCTGTTTTCAAAGTGATTGAAAATGGCAAATGATTTTTTTTTTTAGTACAGTACACTCATACACTCGTACACTCGATTACCTTAGCACGTTGATTGAAGATCGATGTGTAATTGTTCAATCAATGTGCTAAGGTAATCGAGTATACGAATGTATGAGTGTACGAGTGTACGCTAAAAAAAAAAATTATTTATCATTTTCAAACATTTCGAAAACAGTGATAAAGTTTTTAACAATGAAATATTAAAAAGAAAAAATCTCAACACTCTAACAATAAATTTATTTAAATATTTAGATAGGTTTATATTACATAAATAATATTAATTCATAGATAAGCGCTACAAAAAAAAACAAACAAGATTTTAGGCTTTGAATTTTCAAGGCTGAATTTATTTACTTCGAAGTTCCAAAAGCCGGAAATCTAGTTTTCTTTAATAGTACTTGAATACAAACAAAAGGTTATCACTTTGCTTATTGCTTTTGTACATTTTTAAATAAGCCGCATGGCTGTGCTTAATAATCATATGCAAAATATTTTGATTTACTAACATGGCTCAGTCTTTTTTAAAGTCTTAGAGGGCTTGATCTTCGCCGAATTTTGACTTTCCCCGGGGTTTTAATTTACCAGAGGTTTCACCAGAGTTTCACCAGAGTTTCGCCAGGTTTCATGTTTCGCCGGGTTTAGTTTCGTCTTTCGCCATTTGCCAAAAATAGTTTCGCCTGCAAACAGTATCCGCAGAAACAGAAGAATTAGAAAAAAGAATAGAAATACCTTATTTCTGTAAACCCATGGAAAGGATTATACTTGAAAATATTTTCGAAGATCGAATAGTGCGCATTGTTGGCGGGAAGACCTCACCGCATCCAATATTGGCTTTTTTAAACGATAGGGGTCACGAATGGCTACTGTCACGTCTAAATTCAATGTCATCCGTTATATCGATAGGACCTCATCTTTACAAAGAACAACCCATCAGGGAGCGAGTTGCTAGTTATTTCCCTGTGCTGAAACTCGATAATTGTAGGGATTACGAAAGAACAAAAATACTTACCCTCAGAACCCCGGACTTGTCGAATTTTGAGTTCTGGCAAGAATATGGTTTTGATCGGGAATCATTCTCTGAGAAAGAGGAGGAGTTTGTGTACGACCCTGACAAAATCTGGTTTAATGGGATAGAGACTTTATCACATACTGTACTATAATTTTCAACATGTCGCTTTTTGATTTCACCCCGAAAGAGGTCGCAGAATACATGAGTAAACATGGGTGTTCAAATGCCTATGCCACATTGATTTTACCGACCGAAGCAACTTTTGTAGATGAACTAAAAACTCCGGAGTATAATTACCGATTTAATGTTGTGAAGAACCGAGTGCACATGTTTTCCATGAACGACTTACACACACGATGTTAATAACCTTAGAAAATTATGATAATAGCAGTAAAATAAATCATAAATATCTAACCTGGGTTACCCTGATATAAACTTTACCCTTCTCT